GCCACAAAACTATAAATCGAGAAAGCCTTGCTCTACGTCATGGTGAAAAATATCTGCTGAATGTATCCAGTTCTTCTGAAGTTTGGTATGAAGGAATTTTCATACGCTGTTTCGCATAATGTGGGCTTCTTAATGTTTCCATGGAAAACGGACGCGTGGATTAATTATCCCCATATTTAAAAGTGATCTGGTGACACAGTATCCCAATTATCAAGGTATCACATTACCGTCAATTCTCGGGAAATTGTTCTCCTGGATTAGCTTGGAAAGGCTGAGGTAGGCGGTTGATGGAATGACTTCGCCCAACTCAAACAGACTTCTGAATGAGACACTCCTGCCTCAGCCAAATTTTCGTTCTTGTTTTATCATTAAGTAATACCGATGATTCCAAATGTTTTGATTTTCCAGTTTTCTCTGCTTTAAGGTTGCACTGGGGTCATTACATGGCGCGGCGCTGTGGAAATTTTGAAATGCTATGGGATGCCTGAACGCATTGTTTTCGTTTCAGAAGCGATGTATGCAGCCAGAATATCTGCTGTCAAAGTTAAAGAAGAGCGATCTAAATGGTTGCCTGTTAACTGGTGTGTTTGCCAGGGAAATGTACTTTCGACTTATTATTCGGAGTCACTCTTGACATTCTTCTCCGAAACCGTGCGTCCACTGGCAGAGACAAAAGTCTTATTCTAGAGACAAAGCGCAGTTCAAAATATCCAGCTGGATAACTTGTTGACCTGGAGTACGCATTCGATTTGAACTTGGTGAGTAATACGGGATACAGGCTCTGCCAGTGGACGAGAACGTATGCAACAGATCTGCGAAATCAAGCCTCTTCCAAACTGCGCGGAAGTCAAAAGTTACGAAGAACCGATCAGGCCGAGTTGATCTGTAAGTAGAACATCACGATGTCCTTCAGGAGGGCCCTCCCCCCAATATCCGTGTCTCGGCTCCACTATCTCTAGCGATAGCATTATCCAGCTGAAATTGCATTGGAAGATCACCTTACCTTAGAGTGCACTTTGAAATCGGTCCAATAATTTCGCTCAAAAAAGAGTTACTCTTCCCACGAAAATCTACCTGTACTTCGCCTCTGTCAGGCCGGTACTGCCGTACAGCATTAAGGTTTGGCGAAGGTGGAAGAATGACGGTTGAAACTATGTACAACAGCGTTGATTTCCACCTGCAATGAAGATTAAATGGTAGGGCCATGTGAGAAATTATTCCACTTTCGTGCGGACACCTGCTACCTCAGTGGATGTTGAGATTTAAAAAGAAGTTCGCCCTGTTAGACGAACTGATTGAGCATACATCATATTCTCCAGCTCGAGAGCTCCTCATGTGGGAAGCGAAACACGGCAGTCGTCGACGAGAAGGTCCACATGCAATATGGAGGAAGAAGTACGGGCAGATATACTTTCGGAGAGGAATGTTTCTTTCTGCGATGCATGACCATGACTCACAGTAACGTAGCGGATGCAACGGACCTCACAATTTAAAGATGTTCTGTTTATGCAGACGGCTTAAAGGTGCAAGTCTCAACAGACACAAACCTCGCCACAAATCTTCTTTCGCGTGCAGCCTTACTGCATCATAACACAATTGAAACCGTTTTCAACATAAGACAAGCCACCGTACGAAATTATAGCTCGTCATATAGCAGGAAGCAACCACACAAAGTTTAACCTTTTCTGAATTGAAATTTGCTGCAGAAAACATGGTTAAAAGAGCATGACTTTGAGTACAGTTTTAGTGAACGTTCGCCTCCGCGCGGAATTGGCTTATTCAAAGAGCTCCATGTGAATGGAGCGACGAATATTTTGTCAAGTTTTTAAGGGCAGATATGTATCCGTATCTTGATCGCACCAGTTCGTGACGAGGTACGTGCTGACAGCAACGCATTCAATTGGTGACTGTAATCTCCTGGAATCTTTCAAGAAAGTGACAGCGTATGTATAGTCACTTAATCGATTACTTAGTTTTACCAGAATTTCCAGGAGTATCTCGTTAACCGGAGACACAACACACCATGCCAAATACGTCTGTTTAAAGTCCTCTTCGCTCACACCTGCGCAACTGCACTAGCTTCCTTAAGCAAGATGCATATGTCCACAAATCCTTGTACTACACTTGTTGGAACATTCCCGCATATCGGGCGATGTACACAGTAGGAATTCTTAATGGTCTTCTTGCAAACAAACTTGTGAGCAAACCACTTTCAGTTTGAAAAAAGGCATGACACCAGAGTATATGGCCTTGCTTACTAACGGCAGAACTTTACAACTGATAATTTTATTTTTGTCCTGTATCTAACAAAATGTATCCCACCGTGTTGCGCATCAAAAATCGATATTCGACTTGCTCAGAATGGTTTAAGGCGATGATCAACCGCAAAGTGTTCGACGACATGAACTGCCTTTTCGCATGCTTCTCTGTCGATACTTATAGCTCGTGTGAATTTTCGAACTCGTCACCAATAAAATCCCGCAAAAAGACAGATTTTCTTATCAGAAAAAATATCCATTGAGTGAATGATTTGCCTGAAATGGTTTGATCATACTCGGGTCAGCGGTTTGTTTCAGAGTTTGTAGCAGATTTTTACGGCAACGTGAATGCGAAGGTCGGATCACCGTCTCACGTCGCCCCGTCGAGTATTCTCTTATGTCGAAAATTACCCAGTCCTCATGGCTGAGGCGATTCACTGGACTCTGTGAGTATTAACACTTGGGAAGCCTTTAATCCGAAGTGACCAATGATTACTGAACAGTCGAATTATGCCAAGTGTTACGGGCTGCCAGCCAAACAGGATGTTGGTACTATGAAAATATGCAAATCTCAAAGGAGATAGAGCCACAGGAGATAGACTCATTAGGTTCATACAACAACCGGCACAAATCATTGATGGAGCCATGCCGTCATCATTTTGCAAGAAAATACTGGGCATTTAGGTCTCAGAATGATCAAGCAGAATCATTTTACTCATGGTTAGTGGCTTTTCTTTGAATACAACTATCTG